TGCGCCTCCTGGCAGCTAGGGAGGGCTAATTTTGAAGAAGGGCAAAGTCGGTGCTGGAGGTGAGTTGGATCTCTTATAGCAATAAAGGCCGGACGTGGCAAGGGCCTGATCCATTGTGCTAGAGATGGAGAGGAGGGAATGAGAGACCACGGAGGTAAAGCCTAGCAACCGATTGAATGAGAGGAGGGACCAGAAATAGCATGACACTCGGGTTTCTAGTTTATGCAATCTGTGAACGGGGATATTGCTGTTGATTGAGATGGCAAACAAAGGAAGATCTCATCTGGACCAGAGAGGTGAGGGAGGCAAGGGAGTGAAAATGATCAATTCAGTCTGGTATGACTTGGCAGTTTGAGGAGCTGATAAGTTATCTAAGGGGAGATGTCCTGTACTCAGTTTATTTATACCCTTCTCTGTCCCAAGTAGAATTTCAAGTGAAATATAAGGATACATAAAATAGAGTGACATATTATACACTAAGTAGGAGAGAAAGAAGAAAGAAAAACAAGGATGGAATGTAAAATGGAGGAGCGAGGTTAATACAAAATATACTGCAGAAAGCATACGTCACAAGCCTGTGGCAGGGTTTGGCTGAACTCTACTGTTTGGATTGGCCTGCAGTTTTGTTTGTCTCTTTATTTTTGGTTGTAATCTTAAAATCCAAGTGTTCTCAAAAATTGGGATTTCTGGCTTTTTCTAAAAAAATACTGGAAGCTCTGGGAGCTCTGAGCCCTATTCTAATCTGGTAACAATTATCTGGATTGGAAGAGCAGTCACCATTCTTCAGAGGGCCTGGGCTCTCCAATTTGCCTCAGTCCCCTCGATCCCCTGTTGTCGCCTCAACACTGATGCGCAGTGTCAGCCCCATTTATCACCATGGACTATTTCTCTGAACTTAGATCTCTATCAAATGTGAATAAAACAAAAATAAGTTGAGATCTTTTTTTTCTTCTCACTCTATTTTGCCTGTGTACATTAGCTGCCTGGCTACATGTAGAACTCAGAAGCAGGCTGATGCTCACTGTTTACAACAGTTGCCCATTTTGATCAGTACCTGTGTTGTACTTGTTGCTAAACAGTTTGAACATAACCTCTGCTGTAGGTATTCGAGTTTATGACAGGTGGTAAAATCATGAATTTGCCCTACGTATCTGTCGACTGGACTCTAGACCTTCTAGCAGCCAGAAAAAGAGGACACATCTGTGAGGCAATTCATGGTCTCCATAAGATGATTGCATAGGCCAATCAGGACTCTTCTCAACACTAAGACCACACAGAAATTTCTCCTGATAGCCTTCCTAGAGAGGGAATGCTATATTCAAACAACATCCATCCCTGGAGTAGGTACAAATCTAAGGCTGATTCTAGAAGCTTCCCTCAACATACAAGTGTTATTGTCCCCAAAGCACAACTGAGAAGCAATTCCTGGGGAGGCCAGTCTGAAATTCAGTAACCTAATTCTTCACTGAACTAATACAGGGATCATTTTAGATAGTTTATACTATCTGGAGAGATTGACAGACTCCATAAATTCGCCATAGATGGTTCAAGAACATGATGGCTGGACTTGCAGCAGTGCCTTGTGACTGTCAGGGAATGACAAGTCATGGGTGACAGCCAGCACACAGAAGATGGTGAAGAGAAAAGACAAAGGTCCTTGATGATATTGCCGAAACACTGAAAGCGCCAACCCTTATTGTAAAAGGTAACACATGTCCTTATTAAGTTTAAACCACTTTTATTTAGTTCTAATATTTGCTGATAAACACAGTATAACTAGTTCAGCCCATAACCAACTCAAGTTCAAAGAAAGAGCAATAAAAGCCATAGTCTAATTTCTCCTCCTAAGTGTAAGTATAAATATAAGAAGAAAATAACTGGGCTATGAAAAACACTGGCATGTCACAAGAAGTTCTAGGTCTGTATTCTAGGAGAGTGGAAATGAAACAGTACTGATATGACTCTCAGGTCAGGGTTGGGAAATAGATGTGGGAATTGGAATTATAGTTGGTAGGTGAAACCATCACAGTAGATGAAATTGCCTAGGTTGACTACATTGAGCAATGGAGAATACCCACATTTAAAGCGCAGGCATTAGAAGACAGGTTCCTGCTGAGGAAAGAGCCCAGAAGAAGAAGAGTTCGAGAGGTTGCAGGAAAATCAGCATAGCAGGAGGTCACGGAAATCAAGAGAAGAAGCTTTAGGAAGTCAGGAATTAGAAGCAGGGTCAAATACAGCCCGCTAATATAAGGACTTGCATATATCAAATGAAATCTGGGCTTCCATACATATTCCCTCAGAGAGGTCATTCTGTAGGTAAAAATTGTTCTGACCCATCCCATTCTTGTTTTTAATAACCAAACCTGGAGTCTTCCACAGGAACTTTCTTACCTAAGATTTTTAGAAATAATAAAAACAGTTTATAATAAAATGTAACTCCTTGAGCTCCTAGGAACTTCTTATTTAGTTTTTGCCTGCCATTTTCTCAGCCAGTTTTTAAAGTGGCTCTCTGGAAGTCCTTGTCTAGCCAGAATTTGAAGTAATAAAGCCTTTGCTAAAAGATGGAACTGTGAGAGCCAATTTCAACTTGTCAGTTATTTTTTTATTATTATTTTTTAGCTGAGCCATTCTGCCACCTGTTGGCAGCTCAATGGCAGCTCAGCTCGGGCGGGGACTTGAATCGCAGTTGCTCAGAGCTCAAACTCTTGAGCGAGCTCTTAACCAACTGAGCCACTCGGCCGGCCCCTTGTCAGTTATTTTTTGATAGGTACAAGGGGTGGAGCCTTCCTTGAGGCAATCAATATGGAGTTCCAGAAGTATGTGCAACCCAACTGATACCTGACACACTTAGAGTCCTTCATTCCTTCTCAATCTTCTCCCATCGCTCTCACCAGTCTAGTCATGGCACAGACTGGCTCAGGGAGCATCATGCCAAGAGTAAGGTGAGAGGAAATGGCTGATCCAACCGAGATCCAGTGTGTCCATCATCCAAGGGCAGTGGTCAGCAGAGTGGGGGCTAATTGTTACAAAGTCTAAAACATAAATTCGTCAGCAATAGCCTCTGAACTTCCATTTCACAATTAAAAATTGTAGTTATAAATGAGTAAAGATGGGCATCTTTTAGCTCACATTCTTTTAGAGGGATGACACATAAGAAACAACCCTGGTAAGGTTGTAAACATGGAAGAGAAATGTCTCAATTTGGTGGACTATAAAAAATCTAGGGCTTGGCCGAGTGGCTCAGTTGGATAAGAGCTCACTCAAGCGTTTGAGCTCTGAGCAACAGCAGTTCAATTCCTGGCCTGAACTGAGCTGCCAACAGGTGGCAGGATGGCTCAGCTAAAAAAAATAAATAATAAATAAATAATAAATAAAAATCTAAAAGATTATTCAATTGGTAACCAAATTGTTTTGCCTGGAGAAAGGTAAACATTAAAGTGTATGAGGTTCATATAATTAGGAGCCAAATCAAAATAAGAGGAATATATCATTGTAGTATGAACTTTGGAACTCACAGTTAACTAAGATTGGAATATTCGAGACACTTTTACCTCCACCAATCTATTTCTGAATTGTTGGGAAAAGAAGCCGTTAGCATGCTGAAAATGAGCAAATACCTTTTCTGGAATTCAGGTCTTTTGGAGACATATAGTATTAAAGCTCCCTCCTACCCTCCCCCCCCAAAAGGCAAGTAATATAGGGTCTTCACACCCAAGACCCTCCAGCTCTAGGGGATTTAGCGGCCTAGAAAGATGCAACCACAGTTAGCATTTGTGACTTTGGATAAGTTTGTAATTTAACCCCAAACTGGCAAATCCAGTCTATCAAGACCAATTCTTTGTGGGAAGAGTCTGCTGATTTCTGGGCCGAGGGCAGGGCTCCCTGGAGATCTGACCAGCTTAGCAGAGTCTGTCCTGAATGGGATGAATCCGCCAGGGTTCTTAACTGCAAGCAGTGGAAGCTGACTTTAACTCTTGAGGCAGAAAAGGAATTCCTTAAAACGAATGTGAGTGGCTCACAAAACTCTTGTGAGAGCTGTGAAGAAACAATGCTCAAGGAGAAGCTTCAGAAAAGATGTCCAAAACCACACTACAGAGTTGGCTAGATGAGAAAACTGATCCCTCTGTGGCCACCAAGCCCAGGAGACCAGATTTTGAACTGCTTCGCTCTGCAGCCATTGCTACTGCAGCCAGTGTAGACACTGAATCTATACCAGGAACTCTAACCTCATTTGTGGCAGAAATAGAGGGAAAATTGGCTACACTACAGATCAAATTTCAGAGACAGAAGACTTTTAGAGTTGCTGTTTCCTGAAGGAGGCTAGAGAAACCTTTCTCCCTGGAGACTGACATGGACTCTGCTTCTCAGCTGCTCCCCATGGGAAGCTGGGAAGGGGCTGGTGGAAGACTTTTGGGATCCTAGGATGCATATCACAAAAACAGACTCATGACAAGTAAGTACTAATGCTTTTCAATGAACTCTGGAAATAGTCACAGAAGCTCTAATAAAATAGATATTGCTCTGGTGACACTAAAGAGTGACAAAGCAATGATACTTTGTGATCCAAGGTGATGCTTTCAGAATCACAAAAAGTCATTTTTGATTAAACTGTGATTTTAAAAATTCTTATATCAATTTTATGAAGACATTCAAGGAGGTCACTTGGAGAGAACCCATTGTTGTTACTTCCCCTAAATTTTCATTTCTGCTTTGTGGGAAAGGTGCCGTAGAAAGTAGGAAACAGTGCCCTCTCCTGTAAGAGCTTGCACGTGTATTCTGAGACCACAGATGAGAATTTCATCACTCACATTTTTATTTCTGAGAATGCTAATAAAAGGAAAATTTATTTACGTTGAATCATTTTCTGGTCATGTCAAAGAGACTCTAAACTTTCAACTAAAACTGTATTAATTATCTATTGTTGCATAACAATTTACCCCAAATTTAGTTTAAAACAACATTTTTTTGTTATCTCATCGTTTCCGCAAGACAGGACTTCAGGAGCTGTGTAGCTGTGGTCAAGGCTTGGAGTTTCCCAAAGGCCAGGCTGCAGTCATCTGAAGGCTTAAGTATGGCTGGAGGATCTATTTCTAAGAGGGCTCCTCACATTCTGGCAGGTTGGTGCTAATTGTTGGCCTGAAGCCTAAGTTCTTTGCCACCTGGATCTCTCTGCAGGGATTCTTGGTGTCCTTACAACACGGCAGCTGACTTCCCCCAGAGAGTGTGGTCCAAGAGGATGCAAAGAGGAAGCCAGGATGTCTTTTATGCCCTAGTCTTGCAAGTCACACACTGTTAGTAACACAGGTCAGCTCTGTTCACTATAGGAGGAGGCCACACGAAGGTGTGAATACTGGGAGACAAGGACCCTTAGGGGCCATTTTGAAAGCTGGCTGCCACTGAAACCTTGTTTCAACATCTTTGTAGAGGATGGATGTGGCTTTAGCTGATGATGGAAGTATAATTGCTGGACTTGCTAACAGCTAGTCCTGACCATAAACGAGGGCTAAGGTTCAGACCTGTGGCATAGATGCATGCCACTTGCTCAAACACATTCTTCCTGCTGGTTTTCAGCTTAGTCAATGTAACTGGCTAAGGTTCAGACGAAGAGTCACCTACCTCCTTTTGCCCAAGTAATTATGTGGTTAACTAAGAAGCATTAATGTTCTAGTGCTTCGCCATCAGTATAAACAACAGGTTCACTCTGTTTTCAGTGAAAGAATTTGCTTGGCTATCTTCTCCTAGTAATTGATTTGAGAGTTTAACAGCCTTTATGATTAGGGAATATCTTATTCCTTTATTATTGTTGAAGTTATTCTTCATCTGATTGTAGCAGTGACAAAAAGCAAGTAGCAACTTGTTCTTTCTGTAATCATCCATAAACTCAGTGCCATTAAGTGACTGACTTCTCTTCCTCTAGTGAAATAATTCCAGTTTCCTTACCTTTTTTCTCATGCTGCCAGGGATGGGAATTGTGTGTGTGTGTGTGTGTGTGTGTGTGTGTGTGTGTGTGTGTGTGTGTTTATTAAGGAAAAATTAAACTTACAGAAAAGTAGAATAGTCTAAAGAACTCCCATGGACCCAGCACCCAGCTTCGACAGTTAAATGACTCATGGCCAATCTGGTGTAATCTCTTCTCTGCCCACTTCCCATCCTACCACCTGCCCAATAGATTATTTTGAGGCAAATTGCAGAAACCTTCTCATTTCATCCAGGACAATCAATGTTTGACTTATGAAAGGAAAATTAATATTCAAACTCTTGCTTTTATAATTCCTCTTCTTTCTAACTCTCAGCTTTAGTCTGTGGGTAAAGGACAAGATAAAATGCCTTTAATTCAGTATAGGAGATGTCATTTAAGGGAGAAGGGAAATCTCCTTTCCGTAGTTCCTGGAATACAGACATCTGACTTTCCTGACAGAAATGTGTGGCAAATTCTCTAAACTTGTTTTTCTGGCTCACAAGGGAGAGGAGAAACGTGTGCAGTCACAGCTTTTCTTGAAGTTCCTTGAGGGACTTTGCTATCCGAATTGTTTCCAAAGGTTGAAAAATCTGCACACCAGCCCGCTCACACACACAAATATACATGCTGATTCTTAAACTAATTTTGCAATAAAAAAAAATTTTTTTTTTAAATTGGGGAATTGGGGGAGGGAACAGCGTTGGGGAATCAGGGAAGGGGAACAGACAAGTTGCTGTCCTTTTGTTCTTCAGTCTAGTTGTGGAGGACATCGCTTTACTGGCCCATGTTGGTATTGTGATCATTGCACTCTTCCTGGGCAAGGCAGATGAGTTGCCAGCCACTGGACGGCTGTTCATGGCGGCTCTTGGCAGCTCACGCCCACTGCCGGTCGCTCATGGTAGCTTTACAGCAGCCCACTGCAGCCCCACTGCAGCCTACACCAATGCCGGGGACTCAAAGTAGCCCAACTCCAGGTCTAGCTGTTATTCACCATCTTAGCTGTAGAGGGCACAGTGTCACTGGCCCAAACGTGGGGTCCGAACCAGGACCCTGTTGCTCAGAGCTGGCATCCCAAGGCAGCTCTTAACCAACGCGCCACTCGGCCGGCCCTGGAATAAAACAATTTTAAAGGAAGGAATTTCAAGGGCATTTAGCCCAAGTTTGTCATTTTCCTTTTGTGAAAAAGGAGGCCCAGTTATGTCATGTGCCTATGGTTGGCTTGGTATTTAACAATACTCTGTAATGTATTCTTCAGTAATATTTTGAGCATTTATCTTGATAGTTTTTTACATGCTATATCCAGCACTGGGCAAATTCTTGCTGCTTAATAGTATGTGTGAAAAGGACTTTATAAACTGGAAAGTGCCTTAGGAAAGTCAGTGAGTATTATAAACAAATCAACACTTAAGTGGTTCAAATGCTTTTTGTCAATTCTATTATTCTTAAAACACTTCATTTTTTTTATAAAAGTAAGATATACCCATTGCTGAAGATTTAAAACTAAAGAACAACACTAAAAGAAAGCAAAAAAAAAAAATAAAAATAAAAAAATACCTAATAACATTTTTGCCTATTTCCTTTATCTTTTCTTATGCATATATAAAATATATAAAAACATAACATCATCATTTTGAACCTAGAATTTTATATGCTACATTTTAAATTCAACTTTATACCTTAAAAGACATTACCTAATATGGCAATAGATTACAATTTAAAATGCTGCACAATTATAATTGATGTTTTAATTGAAAATGCAATTTAATAGCAACATTAAATAATTTTAAACAATCCAGATTTTTATTAAATAAGTATTAAAACTATTTATACTTTTTTTCTTTTCTATATGTGCACAATTTTTTTTTCCATGACAGCATATATATGATTTTAATTTTGCTGTTTTCACTTATTTTGCTGAAAACTTTTTTTATATTTCCGTAGTCTTTATAGTTCTACTTTTAAATGGCTGCATGATTTTATTTTTTTGTCAGACAAACATGGGTTTGAATGTCAACTTGCTATAATCTAGTCATGTAACTCTGAGAAAGTTTCTTTCTTTGAATAGCTTTATTGAGTTATAATTGACATACAATAAACTACATATTTAAAAGGCACATTTTGATAAGCTCTGTGGGGCCATCACCACAATTAGGATAATGCACATCTCCATCCCTCCCAAAAGTACCCTCCTGCCCTTTTATAATCCCTCCCTCTCACCCCACATAATTATTTTCGATTCATCCATGTCGTTGCTATGAAAAAGACAGAACATTTGAATCAGGTTACATAAAAGGACAAAAACTGGAAACTTTTGAATGAGGCAACTTGGCCTGTCATGTGACTCTGGCCTTGGCCCCAGAGGCAGAAGTTACCGGGAATTCATGGCAGGCTCAGGGACCCTGGGGCGTCTCAGCCTGAAGAGGGAGTCAGTCATGTTCCACTGATATGATGGCTATTCTTTCTTTCAGGCTCCGTGGTCAATGCCACTTTGACACAGCTCTGCTCTTGGCTCCCACCTGTGCATTTGTACTAGCTTTTTTCCCTCTGAAATAACCCTTAAACTCCCCCAGTCTGGTATTTCCATTTCTCTCATTCTTTGCATACTATCTTGGGTGTGAAGTTGTACCTGTTAGCCCTTAGGGTTATGACTCATGCCAGAAAGTGAAAAGTAAAACTGTAATAATTAATAGAGCAAGTAAAGTGCTACTGGAGGACCCTTCCATGCTGTAAGCCGTCGTGTTGTCCCACATGCCTAGAATTTTGTCACCTGTAAATTTGTGTCCCTAGCCTTACAGGATCCTAGTTAGCCTTTTGACATTATCTTTGTTTTTGAAATGCTTGTGGAGGACAGAGGCTGGGGCTGGCTTACATCACAGACAAGCCCCTGAAGAAGGGTCACCAATAAACAGTTTCCAGTGTGTTCTGCGGATTAGAGGGCTTTCAGATGCAGTCCCACAGTCTGACACTAGGGGGCAGCATGTACCAACGGAAACATCTAGCTCTGCTTTTATAGACAAGCAGAAACCAAGCAAGGAAACTACCTTGCTTTTAAACCCCAAGAACAAAGCCACGTTCTCAGCTCTCGAATCAGATTATCACATTACAAGTTTTTATTTAAATATAATTCACTTATATTAGTTTCAGGTGTACATCACAGTGATTCAATATTTATATATATTATGAAGTGATCATCACCATAAGTCTCACCTTCTGTCACCATACAAAGTTATTACAGTATTATTGACTATATTTTCTATACTGTTCATTACTATTTATTTTATAACTGGAAGTTTGTACCTCTTAATCCCCTTCACTTATTTCACCCATCTCTCTACCCCATCCTCTGGCAACCACCAAGTTGTTTGTATCTATGAGTCTGTTTCTGTTTTGTTTTGTTTTGTTTGTTTGCTTGTTTGTTTTATTTTTTAGAATCTACATATAAGTGAAATCATATTGTACTTGTCTTTCTCTGTCTGACTTATTTCACTTAGCATAATACCCTCCCTGTCCATCCATGTTGTCACAAATGAGATTTAATTTTTTTTAATGGCTGAATAGTCCATTTAAAAATATGTAAACATCGTATCTTCTTTATTCATTCATAAGTCAATGGACACTTAGGTTGCTTTCATGTCTTGGCTATTGCAAATAATGTGGCAATGAACATAGGGATGCATATGTCTACAACATTGCAATTCTAAATATCTATTAAGAGTTTTGCCTGCCAACAGAATTCTTCAATTAAATTAAGTTGTGGTTGAATATGATTTAAATATAACACTGCTGAGACCCATATACTCTCTAAGACTTACCCATTTTAGTGTATTTATAACTTCAGCAGCTTACCCTGATAATATTTAGTTCCAAATTCAAACTCTTTATATTCTTTAAAATGACTGTTCTCTCTCTCTCTCTCTCCCTTTGATGAAGCAAATTCTTTTATTCAGAATAAAGGCAATCAAATAATTCTTTAGACAGTTAAACTAGACTAAGTTTAACTCTTTGGAGATCTTACAGTTCTGCTCGCTGAGTCATTTACTCATTAATCCATCCATCAGCAGAGATTTCTGAGCATTTCCACTATATTTCTGTCTGATACTGTGCAAATGCTGTGGATTGCAAAGATGAACCAGGCCTCAATTCTGCCATCCAGGGACT